AATTCTCTATACCTCTACCTCGTGTCTTTAAAATAATAATTAAAATGCGTTTTACATAATGTTGAATTATGATTTTAATCATCATAGTCAAACTGCATTTTAGATAGTATGTTAGCCTCCAATAAAATCAAATAATTTTTAGCATCATGAGAAAAAATGTTTTTTTCCAAAGGACAATGTAACTCAGGAATATGCTAATACTCATGTATGCTAAATAGTAGACCATATTTACTTTTCAAGCAATTAAAGAAATTTAATATTCATTTATGTTACAATCTGATATAGCTCGTCCTTCGAAAACGACAAAATTTGCATTTTGGGGAGATTAAGAGCTGCCAAAAATGAAACCATTCCGTTAACATTCATGTATAATATCAGAACATATAGGTTGTCGTGTAAGAATGCCTTAGTTTTATCACAATATCTTTACAATTGTATAGATATTGTATCGTGAGTAAGTAGATAACGCGAAGACAGCATAAAAGTCATGAATTATGATATGGTACATTATTTAATGCTGATAAGGTAATTTGCGATATCTAAATGAAGAACAAATTAGTTATGGAGACAAACTCAATTACGAATTTAATGTTATATTCGAATTAACATTTTGTATATTTTTTATATTAACAAGTAAATAGTAATATTTTCAAACAATTCGATATTGAATTCACGAATTACTTCCAGTTTGTTCTTGCTCTTACATGCATTGTAAGTAAGAGTTACAAATTACTAAATTTACGAGTTGTTTTCATTATAACTTATGTAAGCTATATTAGATTCTATTGTAAATAAAATATTTTAATAAATTTTCTTTTATGTCAAAAGCACCAGAAAATATTTTTGCATTTTTGTTCCTACCAATGTAATAATGTAATATTTTAAAAATAGGTGTAAAATAGTTAGCTTCTTTGAACATGCTTGCACATCAATAACAATAGAAGAAAAGTTATGCAATTTGTCGATGACATACTATACGTTATAAGTCTGCAGTTCAGTTTTGTCAAGGTAAACAAGAAGTTTTGCTGCTGTATCACAATATATGAGTTAACGTCGGTGCTTCAAATTGCATTCAGAACACGAGTACCTACTCTAACACATAATTCTGAAGAAACCAAGGCTAAAAAATAAATACGTTTTTTATCGGTATCCTTGTGCAAATTGATGGATTTAATGAATATTAAAAGATTTATTATTGAACCCGATGAACCTAAATTTATATCTTGTTATAAATTAATGTGACTGTATCAGGCACAGGTAACTTTGATAGTATAGCAATCAATTGTCAAATACTAAAAATGTGTAGTGTTTGAATTTTCCGTTTTCTAAAAAAGCGTGATATATAAAAAAAATTATACAAACATTCTAATTTAAAAATTATCAAACTGGAAAAATCGAAACATTTGATAATTTTACAAATCACTAAGAATTTCTATTTTATATAAATTAATCTATTCCTATTTTATATACGTTAATCATTATCGTTGAAAATTATCTATCAATGAATGGTTTCAACCTTACGCACATAACCAAGATGGCGTTAAAAAGTTCCCATATCTTTGTTTATAATGTAAAGGTCTCATTGATAAAAGTGATAAAAAAATAGGTAAGACATTCATTGTGCGTTATTATAAACACAAATTTGATAACAATGTGAATTGAAATAATCATGGCCTCAATTATTTATTTTGATTATCTGAAATTTAAATGTTGAAAGATTTTGAAATTGGAATTTTTCCTCGTTTCACACTTTTACTAACAATTTATAGTTTTTCGACGAAATATAATGGCAGAATAAAGTTGTATATTTTTTGCTTTTTCTATACCTCTTAAACATTACATATTATTACAATCTCTATAACAAAATCAGATACTTTGTAGTGCATGTCGAATGATTATTTATAGCAATCAAATGTCCCTTTTTGCACTTTGTCCCTTTGATTGAACAAAGAAGAATTTCTTAATTTCATCAGTTACTTATTTTTCAATATTATTAATTTCTAATACTAATTCTACAGAGAAATTGGCAATGGTCATATAATTTAATTCTACTTTATTTTTTCCTAGAACTTGTAAATGATAAAATAATCTAATAAATAAAGTATGAAACCATTAATTAAAAATAATGGAAACAAATACCCAGCTGATTTCCTATATATTGAATATATATATATATATATAATTGAATGTATAAATTCAACCAGTAAAATAATGCACAGGAATTTATGATTATTAGGCGAGTCTTTCGTTTATCTCTTATCGAATACAACATAAAAAGATAAATGACTTCATTCTTACAATTAGACTGAATTATGAAAAGATAAACCACTTCATTCCTAAAATTACTAAATTTTATTACACAGTAATTGCAGCAATAATAAATACTTCTTTTTATCAAAGGTAAATAAAGACATCAGTAAACAAGAAGAGATTTCACAAACCGAGGTTATTTCGGAAAAATTAATTAAACCATGATGAAATTAAACATACACGATGTATATAGTTGACTTTAATAAATGAAATTGAGAGTCTTTATAAATGATCGCATAAATTCAAGTTTTTGTTGACTGATTATTTTTATTTTATACTTTTTTATTTGGAAACCGTCAAGTTTCATCAACTTTTTTTTTGTAAGACACATTGCCAATGCTCCGGAAAATTAATAATTGAATAGTTCAGAGCCGAATGTTACGAACAACTTAATAGAATGTTTTCTCTACAAGAAACCAATATTTTTCAATAATTCAAAAAATCGGTTAAATTTTTCAGACCATCTACAAATGTTCAAAATTTGCATACATAATACACGGAATTATGTAGTGCGTGAGTATCGCAAAGCAGTTCCGTCACGTTCCAGCAGTTGTGAAACTAATAATATAACAAGGACTTTCAACCAAACTTTATCAAATATTTGCAGAAACGAGTTTCTAGGCAACTTAAAATGTGATTGAATATTATAACGCCGGTCGCTATATAAAGCAGCAGAGTTGACAAAGCACGACAATGAACAATAATGTACTATGTCTCCAGGAAAGGAAGTGATAAGCATATATATATATATATATATATATATATAAATATATATATGCATGTATATATAATACATATATGTACACCTTTCTTATCTATGGCGATAAGAGAACAAATGTAAAATTGTAAAAACTTCGCAACGTTTAATTTATATATTTGTATAATTAGATCTACTGAGAAGTTCTGTCCAAATCTATGACATCATTTTCGCCAGGTTTATTTTATTAATATATATTCAGACGATATTGGACGATATATATTTTTATCGCTTAATGTATACATACTGAAGTAAAAAATAAACTAAAATTGACAGTTAAATTAGTAGTATTCTTGAATCAAGTTTTGATTGACAAAAAAAAAATTAGTAGTATAAATGATAGAAATCCCATGGAAATTGCTAATGTTCATTTAGTGTATTCTATATGAAATTTCACAAGGAAGAAATGCGTTTGATATTTATTGAAAGTATGTGGTGGAGGTACTGTTTCTGATAGAACATGCAGAAGATGGTACAAAAAAATTGTTGAAGCAGCATTGAAGATCACAGAATAATCTAATTCAGCTCAATAATTTTTTCTGACAGGATTCATGTACAAGCGCCACATGAATAAGTCCTTTTTGAACCGTAGATCGCACACTCATAACCTATGATTACTTGTTTTGCCCTTAAAAAAATTTAGACGTGCAAAAAAAAGAAAAATGAAGAAGATGCCAAACAAGAATAGGTTAAATTTTTTGTATCAAGAGATTTAACATTTTTCAAAAATGGGATATGCAAATTGCGCCCTTACGTTGGCAAGAGATCATTAATAATAATGGCATTCATATTAATCAATAAAGGTAACTGTCAAAATAAACTATGTATTTTGTTTTATTCCACAAACTGAAAGAATATTCTGTTACACCTAGTAATAAGAATAAACCTTCCTAATATAGATACTATTTAGCGTTTCCAAAATAAAATTCTATAATAAACAATAAATACTCCTGTATATTCCAATTTATTATTTTACAATGACCTATATATATATAAATGTACATAGTAAAAAAAATCGTAGTCTTCAGCCCAAAATATAACGAAAGATTATATAATTAAAAGATTACTGAAGGTCTTAAAAAAAGACTACCTCAGCATTTAAGGGAGTGTCCATTAATCATATAAAAATCATGAGATTTTTAGGGGGAGAGGGGGTTTCACAAAAAATCACGAAATATCACGTGGGAGTAGAGTAAGATATCACGTGTTTATTTTTAAAAAAAAATAATTTGATTCAAACATTTTCAAAAAAAATAATCTAAAATTTTACAGTTTTTTCACGTAACTAAAAATACTCAGATGTTTGGTGGGGGAAGGGGAAGTTAATTTTGAATATCACCAATACCACCAAGAGGGAGGGGAGGTCCAAAAATCCTTAAAAACTCGCTCACGTTATCAATGTGCGCCCTCTAAGACGAAGTTACCATGCAACTCAGCAATTCGATCAAATAGGAATATAGTGTTTCTGCATTTTATAGCAGTTCACTATTATCATTTATCAGAATAAAACCATATTATTCTTCTAACTTTCGATATATAAAGAAGTCACAAAAATTAAAAGCAAAATGATTGTAATTGTATCTAAAGAAATAAAAGAAACATTCTTCTATAAGTTTTGAGTCCCAAAGATGAGTTAACTTCTTCAACAAATCATTTGTGTTGCTTTGTTTAAATTATTCAAAAACCACAAACAATCAACAAAAGACGTGTGTAACAGTCATAAATTTATCCATAGACCAAACAATATTGTTGTTTGTATTTAATCTTAGTTTAATTTTTCAAAATAATCAAATCATTTTATTTTATAAGTAAGATTTTGATATATGCCTTTCATATACTTCAAGAAACCATTAAATTAAATAATTTTTCTCCTTGTTTGAAAAAATTTAATACGTTCTTTCAACTTGTTAGAAAAATTATGTAAATATCTGACCTTTTTGTAAAGCTTAATCCACGTCAAATCACCCTTGCTGTCAGTGTATTGGAGTCCAAAAAACCATACTTCGCGCAGACCGATCGTCTTGACCACCTGATCGAAAAGCTGTTTTCCAGTGGTGGTCTGCTGGATCGCGAACTCCAGTTCCGCGTCCATCGTGGTCACACGAACATTCATCTAAAATAATACAAAAATTAGTAAAACATACATTTTGGTAAATGAGAATTAAAAGTCTGTATTGTAAGTAATGTTACCGAAGACTGTATAATACTCTATAACTAAAAGAATTCCATATTAGTTCAGAAACCGGTAAGATTTTTTTTATATTGGAAGGTAGAGTTTCATTTGCAGCACTGCTCTATCTATAATCTATCTAATTATTATGAATTATTTTCTTACATAACACGTTATAAAAAGTTGGAAAAAATAGCTTTTAAGTAACATCCGCATAATTAAAGTTTATTGTCAATTTCAATGTTTTTATTGATATTATTTAAGTAAAAAATCAACATGCTGCCAAAGCAAGGAATGTCCAATAATTCATTAGGCCACAATTTTTTTTTTTTTTTTAATTTTAACTTTTTTGCGCTCAATATTTAATTAAGAATATGACTAATTGTGAGATGCGGATTGATTATTTGTTACAGTCACAAATCTTAGTTGGTGGTCTACCACTAAGTGGACTTCTATAGCAACATTAGAATAATAAACCAACGAGCTAGAATTTATGAAGCTGGTAGAAGAGATCCTAATAGTCATAGCCACGGTATTATATAGATAGATCACTTGAGATCTAGCAGCATGCGATAAAACATCCAATATTACAAAGTTAATCTTCATTCTGAATTATGCGAAATAAAATAAATTCATATGGGCCATGAAATTACTCAGGAACACAAGAAGCTTTGTTTTATGAGTGTTTTATGAATGGCTTACACAGTGCTCTAAAATTCAGAACTTGAACGATTAGAAGCCAATTCTGTCGTAAAATAGACCAATTGTGGCAAGGCTATGTTATGTATCGCTTCTTATACAAAATGGTACTAAATACTTTCAAAATGCTATGTAATTTCTGTGAAGAGAAAAGGCTAGGAAAAAACTAACTTAGAAAAGTCAAGAAAATAAAGAATAATTGCATCTTTATGATGTTGCATAATAATATATGTGTGAAGTTGTATTTTATGTGTAAAACGCATTTGATAGTATTTAGTGCTATTTTATATGAGAAGCGCTATGTAATAGCCTTACCATAACATTGGTCTATCTTACGGCAAAATCGGGCCCTTTGCCGAAATTAAATTCAAATGTCATAGTAATTCGTTCATAATAGTAAGATTAATTACTCTCTTATAAAAAATGTTTTTGTAGGTACTTATCTAAGATTCATAAAATAAATCGAACTTATTTCTTTTGGTCGTACACTAAAAAGACATGTACTAACCATGGTAACCATGGGTAAAAAATTTACTACATGCAGTAGAACAAACTGTACCAATATTATACTAATAATAATGCACTCATAGTAAAAAATTACTAATAGCACAGGTCTACCAAATTTTTTTTTTGTTTGGTGCATCAAATGTTAGAGCTGATTCTTATAGTATTTTTTGCGCAGATTTCAAATCTGCAAACCATTTTTTTGTATCAACTCTAGTTTGGAACTTGAAAAAAAAACGTTGCCGAAACCAGGTCCATTCTAGGTCGTCACGGAAAAGAGTTTTTCACAGTGTCAACTAATGTTCCAACTAAGGCCGAATGGGTCTTGTAAGTTTGTATGTACGAGTAGGCATATTTCATTAAAATAAAATTCTGAATTGTATTACTATTTTGTACTTTCATTCCTTATATATCATATCTCGAAAACTAAAGCTCATAGAAAAAAACCAATGTCATTTTTGCAATCAGCGCCCCAAATATACTTAAAAACAGCATTAAAATCGTTCGCACCATTTTCTTTGTTGGCCTGTGTAATAACTATACCAATATTTTACTAATAACGCAATCATAGTAAAAATAAAGCAACAATAGTTGGTAATAATTAAGAAGCAAGTTTTTACATATAATTCGTTCTAAATATAAAATTTAAAAATAATTGCCGATGTCATTTACAGATGCCATAATACAACTGTAGATGACATCGTAAAAACCATATTCTAATTACAGCTCAGACCAATGAGCATCATTCATGCGTTCATAATACTATTGCGTATGTATAAACAAAGACGTCAATGGGAAATTATAGATAAAAACTAAAATACATTTTTCATTCCACAATTTGTGAAAGAATATTTTAATAAATTATTACTTTTAATAGATTAGATTTAGATATTTATAATTACGACAAAATAGGAAAGAGTGTACCGTAAAGTCCAGTACCACGATTTGAAAACAAAATATGGCAAAAAAGTTTGACAATTGAAATTATTTTAACTAAATCGACATTTAAAATTAACATAATTTTGTAAAAAAGTTCCCTAGTTGAAGAGCTAGTAATAAATAATAAAATAGAGCCAATAAGATAATTACCAATAATTCTACAGTCTCGTTCGCCATTTTTATTTCTCACGAACACTTTTTCATAGGTTTACGGCAACCTTATATGAAAATATTTTCACATAAAAGTACTTTATAATCGGACTTGTTTTCGAAATAGTGCATACACAGTAATTTATACATTTTTTCATAAACAACATTTTTTCATGTACAACAAATTTCGTGCATTGTAACCCTGTTCGTAATGTATAATAAACTTAATAAAAATGCATCTTCATATGTTTTAACAAAATCATCACATGACCATCACATTTTTAATTGAAAATGACAACTTGATTTTTGTTTTTTATTTGAAATGCGTAGTATGATTTCAATGAAATTGACATTCTTATGAAATCGATTATTGAGAAATTTTTAATGAAAACTAGTTGGTATTGGTATTTTGCCTTGAGGCAAGTTACATAAACTTCCCGATATGTGCAAATAATAAACTTAATAAAAAATAAATTAATTTATAAGTAATTATTTATAAGTATTCCGAGTAGATTTATTACACATAATTGAAAACTAACGAACACGTTAACTCGGAGTATTTTCTAAAAGCAAATTTTCAAAAATCAACAATTTTTATAATTAAACCAGTTTCCGTAGGACTTTAATAAGTTAGTATATTCATTAAGACCAAGTACTCTATTGTTACACCAACTAAACCGTCTAATTTTAATTTTAACAAACGTCAAAAAAAAACTACTCATTTTCTCAAACTTTGGTAAGTTTTTAAAATTAAACTACTTGTCGTAAGGCCGTAAGATTTCAGTAAGTTCTATAAGACCATGATATATATCGACAAAAAAAATCCATAAAAACCGGCTTAATTTTTTTTCAACAGTTTATTACAAGAAAACGGCTCGGTAAGATCAGCTAAAAATAATTGCTTTTCAAACTCACCTCCTATCATAATTGAATAAAAAATAATACGTTTGGTAATATAAAGAAATAAAGTCGGCAACATGTATTAGACTTATTGTAAGATTTTTTTACAAAATTCAATCTTAAATTTATTGTGTATTTTTAAAAAATAGGACACATTATACTTAAATTTGATTAGTTTGATCTAACAAGTGTGACAAGATCTTAAATTTAGTAACTCTATATTATTAACGAAAGTTGCACCATTGCTTTTTTATATCAGAGGTGAATGCATAAACGGAAGTGAAACGACGCCGACACCGCCACTCCTAGTACAATTGTAATTATTGGCGGGAAGAATAAAAAATAGAACTGTAGAAAGAGTTTAAGAAATTTTACATATTTATATGTATTATCCATATGCAAAAATAACCATTTTAGTGATTGTAGTAAAAGAATCTTGGCGATAAATATAGTTTAATAAATGGAAAATCGAAAAGACAACCTTGGACAACCTTAAACCTTTCATATTCGTAGACTTTAGTTACGTTAATAGTACTAAAAAATTTATAAATAAATAGTATGCATCTTGGTATAATTGAATTTGATTTGATTATACCAAGATGCATACTATTTATTTTTTAAATTTTTCGCAAATTTTAAAATATTTAAAAAATTGTTTGACGAGTTTTGTCCTATTGTCCGAATGAATTCTATATAATATGCAATGATTTGGCAATAAATGAGTGACAGATACTGTAAAAAAGCCAGTGAAAGTGATTTTAAATATTAGAAAGAAGATGAAAAAATATAACATTTTGTATAAATACGATTACAAGGTGTAAACTATGCTTTTCTAAAAGGAAAGTGCTGTGAAATAAAATAAAGTTGCGAAACGAGATATGTATAGTATAAATCCTGTTTGCACTTTATCTCGTTGATATGCAGGCGGCGATTTCCATACAGTCGATCTTACAAAAAATATTAAAAATTGAAGAAATTTTATAATACAATAGAAAACAGTCAAATTGGTATAAAATCAAAAAAATTGTCAGAAAATTAAATATTTTTATAAAAATCATAAAATATCATTGAATCTTACAATTAGAGTCATTTCTACCATCAAACATTGAAACCGTAAGTAAATTCGCACCAGTCTCTCGAAAACTTGGTACAAAGTTTGTACTACAAACATATATGCTATGTAGAATATAGATATATATTAATTATTGATTTTTATTTTATCAACCTTTTCCCATAAATTTAAATATAATTTATTTGCTTACCCTTGGTCTAACATATATGCATGTATGCATACACATTTATAATAATGCAATAGACATACGAACATCACATATGTAAATAAACCACAAATTTTTATATTCTAACAAATATACTGAAAATATAACAAAATTATTGAAGGTAATGTAAGGATAATTTTTATAACCGATTTTTAATGTTTCCAATGAATCGCTATGTAAAAATGTTACAATATAATGTATTTTTAATAAAATTAAATTGAATTATAGATTGTGCAAAAGAGAGAATAAAGGGAAAAGTGGCGAAAATTTCCTTTTCGCAGAACACTAATTATAATTAATATATGGTCAGCATTTTGATCTTCAATTGGGATGAAATGGAAGCAATAATAATCGATTATGAATTAAATACATAAAACATTTATGTCCGTTACCATAAAATGAAATACCCATTTAACATTAAGGGGCACAACTAGTGTAACCGCCTAAAAAAGGCGGATTTTTGGGAATTTATAT